GTAGGGTGGACTGGTTCCTATGCACCAGGTCTCACAAGGTCAAAATCAAGATATCAGTAGGCTTAGGCTTTTATCTGGTGGCTCTAGGGGAGAAAATGCTCCTAAAGGTCATTTAGGTTGTTGGCATAATTCAGTTTCCTGTAACTGTAAAACTAAGGTGTCCATTTTCTTACTGGCTGTCAGCCAGAAACATCTCTTCGCTTTGTAAGCGCTCTGTATTTCTTGTCAAATTATCCCCACTTTTCCCCACCACCCCTACCCTACCATTCATGAATATCTCTGACTACCCTTCTGTTACACTTCTACTGCTTCTAGCCTGAGAAAGCTCTCTGCTTTTAATGGTCCATTTGATTAGATTGAGCCAACCTGGATAGTGCAGGGTAATTTCCCTTTCTTAAAATTTGTACCCTTGAGCACCCGGACACAAAATGAAGAGGTCATGTGAGCACACAGCAAATAGGTAGCCACCTACAAGCCAAGAGTAGAGGCTTCAGAATGAAACCTACCTTGCCAGCATCTTGATCTTAGACTTAAAGTCTCCAGAAATGTGAGAAATTTCTGTTGTTAAAGCCAAAAAAAATAAAAAATAAAAATGTACCCTTAATTACATCTGCAAAGTCCTATTGCCATGTAACATAACATATTTACAAGTTCAGGGATTAAGGCATGAACGTTTTTTAGGAGGCCATTATTCTGCTTACCACAATAACCACTCTTCTAGAATTATTTTCTGGCATATCCCTTAAGTGATTTAAAGAAATGTCTTGCAGTAACATGGCTAAATTTATTTTGGATATAGCATTGTTTTATTTAAACAATAAAGAGTCTAGCAGTTCTTTGAGAAGAACTTATTATGAGCTAGATCTCAATAGGATTTAGAGAAAGGAAAGATCTAAAATAGACAATTAGAAAACCCTGTAAATAGAATGAGAACAGCATGTAAATGATATAGGAGAAATGTGAATATTTATTTTGTTTAGTAGCAAAAGCATATAGAATTAAACAATTACCGTATTTAACATTATTACAAGTATGATGTTTCATAAAAGCCATTAAGTATTATTAGTTTGCTATTAAAAACAAGATAATCTTCTACTTTACACACTACTGAATTTATTTTGTTTGAAATTAGCTAAAATTTGATTTTCTCCTAAAATTTTTTCTAACATCAAAAGAATCATAAATAAGTTTTATTTTCTATTTTTAACTTATTAACTAGTAATCTAGAATAAAATTAAAATCCAATTCAACAATAAAGAATTTTAGAGAGTCTACTATTTGCTGGGTATTTATGCTGGGTATTTAGGATGGGAATATAGTTATGTGATACTTCCTGCCTACAGGAAACTCACAGGCATATAAAGGAATAAATTATAATATTGTCCAGCCAGGGCACTAAGAGAAGCAAGAATTTACAAAGTAGTAAGATAAGGATGTCCTGTGTTTTTGTGTGTTTTTTTCTTTTTAAAGACAATTTTTATAGAGAGGTTTTTGGTTCACAGCAAAATTGAGAGGAAAGTACAGAGATTTCCCATGTACTCTCTGCCCTCCCACATACATAGTCTCTCCCATTATCAACGTCTCCCACTAGAATGGTACATTTGTTACAATGAATAAAAACCTACAATGATGCATCAAAGTACTCCAAAGTCCACAGTTTACCTTAGGGTTTACTTGTATATTCTGTGGGTCTGCAAAAATGTTTAATGACATGTTTTCATCATTATAGTATCATACTGAGTATTTTCACTGCCCTAAAAATAATCTGTGCTCCACCTATTCACCACTGCCCCTCCTACCACCATCATCCCAACCCCTAATATACACTGATTTTTTTATTGTTTCCATACTTTTGCCTTCTACCAGAATGTCATATTGTTGGAATGATATAGTAATGTAGTCTTTTCAGATTGGTCTCTTTCACTGAGTAATAAGCATTTAAGGTTCTTCCATGGCTTGAAACATTTCTTTTTAGTGCTTAATAATATTCCATTGTCTGGAAGTATCACAGTTTATTTATACAGTCACCTACTGGAGGACATCTTCGTTGCTTCCAGGTTTGGCAATTATAAATAAAGTTGCTATAAACGTCTGTGTGTAGGTTTTTGTGTAAACATAAGTTTTCAACTCCTTTGGGTAAATACAAGGAGCACTATTGCTGTAGGTAAGAGTATGCTTAGTTTGTAGGCTTTCTCGGTTTTAAAGGAGGCATGAGCAAAAGCACTGAAGTATGAAAAGGCACAAGGTATTTGAGAAACTATAGGTATGGCTGGAGGGTAAAGAGCAAGGGGCAAGTGGTGAAATTAAAGCTGGAGGATTGGCAGAGTCAGAGCCTATGCTGCCATGCATTTTATTCTATGGAGATAAAGTGCTGGCAAAAACTTTTTAACCAGGGAAAACGTGTGATTGAACCTGCACTTTAGAAAGATTACCTTTGCTACACAGAAGAGAATGTCGCTGAGTTGAAGGTCAATTACAGGCTAGAAAATCAGGTTAGATAACAACGGGGATAATTTTTGAGAAATGTATTGTTAGGCAATTAGGTTGTTGTGCAAGCATTGTAGAATGTACTTATGCAAACCTAGATGGTAGAGCCTACTACCTACCTAGGTTATACAGTATACCACCATGGTATATGTGTGATAGGACAGTTAGACAAACATGAGCAGAGCAATGGACGATGGGCAAGATACAGAAGTTCACCAGGGAGGACAGCCCTGGGTGACTAGCAAAGGACAATTGTAGGGCGGGACCTTGCCTCCAGGGTGACCTTTCCTCCCCTAGCATATCACTGGTGGTATGAATAATGACCCTGTGCCCAAGTGCAGCCAATCAATCAGTGGAGACCCCACCCTGAAAGGATACACCTGGAAAGCTGCTGAACATTCTATTGAGATCTTCCCCTGGGACCTCCCTTAAGATTCCTACCCTTAAACACTTAGGACAGAGGATCCAATATGCTCTCCTTCCCAGGAGCACCAATCAGAAAGAACTTACGCACCTCTATGCTCATAGCAGCACAATTTACTATAGCTAAGATCTGGAAACAGCCCAAGTTCCCATCAGTAGATGGGTGGATAAAAAAGCTGTGGGACATTTATACCGTGGAATACCAGGCAGCTGTAAAAAAAGAAGGATCTCTTACCCTTTGGAACAGCATGGATGGACCTGGAGAGTATTATGCTAAGTGAAATAAGCCAGTCAGAGAAAGACAGGTATCACATAATCTCACTCATATGTGGAATCTAATCAACAAAATAAGCTGATGAACAAAATAGATCCAGAGACATAGAAGCATGGAACAGACTGACGAATCTCAGAGGGAAGGCGGGGTTGGGGGAGTGGGCGGGGAGAGATTAATCAAAGAATTTATATGCATAAATGAGTAACTCATGGACACAGACAATAGTGTGGAGAAGGCCTGGTTAGGGGGGTGGATGTGGGGTATAAGGGATCAATGGGGAAGGAAAAGGGTTTATCTGTAATGCTTTCAACAATAAAGATTTAAAAAAAAAGAATTACCCCTACCCTTAATGTCCCCTCTTAGAATTTTCCATCAACTGTCTTCTTTCACTCTGCCCATTGGCTATACATCTCCAGCTGTCTTTGTTGTATTCATGGTTGAGCCCATCTCCCCTGTTACAGTAGTCTTGACACCTACAGCAACAGTCCTAAATAAAGTCTTCCTTATTATTTCAACATGTATAAGAATATTTTTTCCGTTAACAATGGGGAGAAACATCTCTCCAAAACTAAAGGTACGTCCATATGCCTCTCAAGTTGAATTTGTGCATACATCCTTTAACTAATGTATAGCTAAATAACGTGTCTGGATTATGTACTGCAGGGATTTACCAGGCATTATTATTTGTCCCCCAAGAGCCTAGCAAGCTGGCTTTCTTACCTTATAATAATAACAGTAATAATAATAATAAACAATAATAATAATGTCAGTCTAAAACCCACTGTGTTTAGTAGCTCATATCATTCCTTTCTAACACACTTTACAGTAACCTTACCGGGAGCTAAAGCCAACACCATGAGAGTTGGGGTGAGCCTATGGGAAGAGAGTAACAGTCTTGGTAACATTTTGAGTTTGCAGTCTAGTAATGACACTTTTTTGTCTTTTCTAACCTCAACTTATTTGCAAGGTCAATTCAAGAGACAAAGAGAAAAGCTGTTGTAACTACCCAAACTCGCTGCTGTAGCATGAAAGCTGCTTGAGATATAAAAGAATGGGCATGGCTGTGTTCTAATAAAACTTTTCTTATGGACACCGAATTTGAATTTCATGTCACTGTCATGTGTCCCAAAACATTCTTTTTATTTTTTTAACCAATGAAAAAATGTAAAAACCATTCCTAGCTCACAGATGTTAAAAAAACAGGGGTTGGGCCATATTTGTCCTAAGGGCTATCTATAGTTTGCTGACCCGGCATGCATAAAATGTCAGAATTCGAAAACTGTAAGTGTTAAGTGTAGGGCTTTCTGTGTATGCTAACTTCACAGACTAACTTCCAATGAGATAATATAAGCGAAAGCGCTTTCCAGTAACATTGTCTGGTGGCCAACTCTGGGTATGGGGCCAGCTGAGTGGCAGGGGCTCGGGCTCACGCTGCCCACCACCCTCCAGCCGGGTAGTAACTCAGCGTCCAGCTCCGACGTCCAGACAATGCGGAGCCAGGGCCTTCAGGGACGTGGAGTTGGCGGCTGAGATCAGCTGACAGGGGCTGGAGGCCCAGAAATAAGAGAACCGCAGGAAACACACGCCCTCTCCCGCCCCCCAGTGGCGCGGCTCCAGGCGCAAGCAGGCGCGTGCTCGCACGCACGCCTCCCTCCCCCGCTCAGTCGTGCTCTACTGCGCATGCGTCGGGCGGGTTGAAGAGGGGGCACCAGCCGGAGTGACTCGGAAGAGCTCCTCCCGGGTGGACCGGTAGACCCGGACTGGCGGCGCGTCACTTCCGCTGGGGCGGGGCGGAGCTGGGGAGGGGGTGGTGCCTGGATGTTGCTCTCGGGTTCGTGTTGGAAGCTCAGCTGATGCAGGCCGGCTGTTGGGAACGTCAAAGCCGCGAAGAGGCGCGTTGCCACTGCCGCCGAAGTAGTTGCGGCCTGCATCCGGGTAAGTCGCCGCTGAGAGACCGAGGCAGAACGATAGGCTTGGGAAAATGGAAGCCTGGTAGCCTCTGGGCTTGTCCGGGCCTTCTGGTCTCCTTATCGCTTCTCGTAGGGCGTTTCATGGGAGAGCGCGGGGAGACTCCCAGGTTGCTGGAAGCACAGGACCTAGGTTCCAAAGGCACCGACCACCAGAAAGAGCTCGCGGGTGCTGAGGCTGTTCGGTGCACGGCGCCCTCAGCCTCTCCCGCCCCTGTTGGTTTTGCTGGCCCAGCTGTGCAGATTGTTTTGGTTTCTCTGGTCCCGCCCCGCGCTTCCTGTTCCACCTCCGCGACTCCCAGCCTGTTTGGCTTTCCCCCACTATAGGGTTTTCCAGCAGTTCGCTGATGTCTGTCAAAACAGTTTCCCTATTCTACATCATTCTGGAATGTCACTGCGCCGGTAACTCCATTGGTTGGAATTTTTATTTATTAGCGACTTCTTTTTAACTCCACCTATATTTAACTATGTACCTAACTACTGCTGCTTAAGTGGATTCAGATGTGTGTGATTTTTAAAAGGTGAAACTGTATGAATCATGTTTCAGTGCTTCTCGTCTTTGTCATTTCAGTCATGCTGGGAGGAACCTGGTTTCTGTGCCTAATACGATGATAACGATAAAGAAAAGTGGTGACTCCTAGGAAAAACTTAGAGATTTGTCATTAGGGACTGTCATGTGATCTTATTTAGTGTTTTTACTTCCAGGAACAGTCCTAATTGTTGAGATTTCAAACGTAACAAAACTGCTCTGTGTATCGAGAAAATGCTGTTAAAACAGTGAAATATTAAGAATTTAAAATCTGTTAATTTTTAAAAAGTGTAATAAACTGTGTGCTGAGAGTTTATGCCGCTTATGAGGCAGTTGTTTCAAGCGCATTGTAGTTATTTTGTTAAATTGCTTGTGCAAATTCGTTGTACTTTCTGATTTCATAATTTTTATTAATCAAAATTTTTTTAATGTTGATATTGTTTTTCTATTTCTATATGAGACATAAATTAAAATCTTGAAAGCAATGTCCTTTTAACTAGTAATGTTGAGTGAAAGGATCAGTTTCACTAGTTTATATATTTACTTCACATGCAAAGTTAAAAGTACAGCTTGTACTTTGACTTGTTTTTTTTGGATCAGTAATGACAGGAATTGTGCTGAAGGTACATATTGCCTCACTTGTGGAACATATATTTATAAAAACGTCAGAGTTAGAGCTATTATCCCCTCATCTTAGTTCTCATTTTTCTCTGTCATTTCTTATGTTTTACTTTGTTCATTATCTATCACTTTTTACAACTTGCTGTTGTATTCATTGCCCTGACTTTTTTCAGGCTACCTTTTCTCCTGTGCTTTTCTGTTTCCTTGGATGACTTACTCTTTCTAGCTCTGTATGTCAGTCAAGGCTCTACCCTGTTCTCTTTAAACCAGAGTTTTAAAATTTGAAACCCAAGTAATACATTAGTAGGTCCATGAATATCCTGAAATGTCATGAAAATATTATGTATATATGCAAATAAGCATTTTTCAAGGAAGAGGAACTTTTTTCAGGTTCTGTGATCCTGAGATTCTCAAAAATTATTACTGTAAATATTTCTTTGGTAAATCCAGTCTTATGGTTTCAGCTGTCACTGTACTGATAACTCCAAACATAAATCCACAGCCTATGTTCCTATAGTACTTCTCCATTTGAATGTCCCACTGTAAATACAAGAGATTTTTCTTTCATATTTAATTGGCCCCCTTCCCAATTGTCTCATATTTACAAATTACATTCTCCTTGTGTCTTTGATTAAAAATCCTTAAGTTGTCTTGACACCTCCCTCTCCTTATCCCATTCTTCCCCTGTCCTGTGTTGTTTCCGCATTTTCAGTGTGGCTCAGAGTAACCCTCTTTTCCATTATAGTACTGTTACCTTAATTCAAACCCTTGTAACTTTATGGCTGCATTATTGCAATAACTAGGTGAAGTCCCTTATAAATTCATTCTTTCTATCCTCAGCAGAGCCTCCACCTAGAAATTCCCACATTCCCTCTTTATTCGATGTATACTCCATTGTATTTATATTACCCTAATAATAGGTAGTCTAATCTTCCCTGCTCTTTTCTCATTTGTTGATGGTAGTAACTCTCACTTTCCATTCTTCTGTATATTTTTGCAATCTAACTTCTTTTCCAGCTGAATTTATTCTCAAAATTCTTATCTGCATTTACTGGTTTTGTGATTTGGGAGCAATTAAATTAAGCTTGTTGATTTAGTTAATACTTCTTTATGTTTAGTAACTTTTGCTTGATAATTGTCATTTCCAGAGAGGTATATTAAAATACTATGATCATGAAATTGTCTAGTCTTCCTGTAATTGCCCCCCCTGTTTTTGCTTTATATACTATATTTCAACAGCAGATTGATAGGTGTATTTATAATTGGTCATGAGGGTTATATTATATTGGAAAGAAACAATTCAGACCTCTTAATGTATCCTGGGTTTGTGTGGCTGGTTTTCTGCTTGACTCTTGGGTCCACTTCTATCATTTTTCTTGTTTCTTGCTTTTCTTCAACCACCTTGTTGTTCTTGCTCTTCCTGAATAGGCAAAGCCCATTCCTGTCTCCAAAGGTTGATTGCTTTTTCCTCTGCCTTGAAAGCTTTTTCCCCCTATACTTTTAATAATTTGCTTCCTCACTTTATTCAGATGTTTAGTAAAATGTCAACTCAATTCTTCTCCTGACCACCTGAACTAAATTAGCATTCTCTGTGTCCTTCCTCCCCAAACCCCAGCTTAATTTTTTTTATGGCACTTCTCCACCTGATATTATACATTATATTAGTTCTTTATTTGTTAATAGGTTGTATTGTTCTCCAAGGCCTAAAAGACTGCCTGAGGTTTAATAAATAAGTGGATTACTCCTTTTACTATTATATAGTATCCTTTTTAAAAAATCCTTATTTAATGACTTTACCTTAAATTTGCCTTAATGTGCACTTTTGCTTTCTTTTGGTTATTATATGCCTGGCATATCATTTTCCACATTCCATTATTTTTAGTCATTCTTTGTCATTATGGTATAGGTGTGTCTAGTAACTAGCATGTAACTGAAGTTTTCATTTCAAAAATTTGCTTTTCCTGTTCACTCTGTACAGTTCTCTGTTTTTACCTCCTTATTTTTTTTCTCTCTGTCATATCATTGACATTGTAAATCTACTTAATTTTTCTATTATTTCTAAATCCTGGTTACACATTTTCCTGTTGGCTATATTTGCTAGTACTCGCTTGAGGTGATTCATTTCCTTGCATGTTTTGAAATCTTTGTAAGTTAAACTTCATTGGTGGTGGCTTATTGTGGGAGTCTAATTTGCTCTGAGCTTTGGAAGTGTCCTTTCTGTTGACTTTGCTGAGGCCCTATAGGGTTCACCAGCTCTGACTAGTTTTCATTTCCTTAGAGTCTCTGTACCATCAAGGTAATGTGACTACAGATCCAGGTAATTCCTCTTCAACTGTGGATTTCCCATTTTATTTATTTATTTATTTATTTATTTATTTATTTATTTATTTATTTATTTATTTATTTATGGTAAAAAACACATATAAAATTTACCATCTGAACCATTGTTAAGTGTATAGTTTAGTGGCATTAATTTTATTCACATTGTTGTAAAACAGATTTCCAGTACTTTTTCATCTTGCAGAACTGAAACTCTATACCTATGAAATAACAACTGCCCTTTGCTCTATTTCCCCAGCTCCTTGTAACTACCATTCTGCTGTCTATATCTATGAATTTGACTGTTCTAGATACCTCATATAAGTGGAACCAGCATTTTTCCTTTTGCGACTAGCTTATTTCACTTAAAATAATGTCCTAAAGGGTCATCCATGTTTTGCAGCATGTTATAGGATTTCCTTTTTTAAGGCTGTATAATATTGTATTTCTTGGCCATATTTTATCTATCTATTCATCTGTCCGTGGACATGGGTTGTTTCTACCTCTGCTACTGTGAATAGTGCTGATATGAACATAGTTGTGCAAATATCTCTTTGAGACCCTGCTTTCAATTCCTTTGATTATATACCCAGAAGGAGGATTTGTGGATCATATGCTAGTTCTACTTTTAATATTTTGAAGAACCACCATACTGTTTTTTATAGCGGCTGCACCATTTTAGTCCCACCAACAGTGCTCAAGAGTTCCAACTTTTCCACATCTCTGCCAAAACTTACTATTTTTTTATTTATTTAAACAGCCATCCTAATGACTATGAGGCAATATACCATTTGGTTTTGATTTGCACTTCTCCGATGATCATTGATGTTGAGCATTTTTTCATATGCATGTTCACCATTTGTATATCATTTTTGGAGAAAAGTCTATTCAAGTCCTTTGCCCATTTTTAATTGGGTTGACTTTTGTTTTTGAGTTGTTGGAGTCCATTATTGGTTTTGAGTATGGCTTTTTATCCACAAGAAATATCCAATATTTCTGTATTGGGGATTATAGAGTTTTTATGTTAATTCAGCTTATTACATTGACAGCAAGTCCTTTGCCCATTATTTTCTCCGGGTCCGGGAGCGAAATCAGACTACTTGCAGTTTTTACTTATATTGTATTTGCTTTCTTAAATGCTTTTTTGTGTTTGCTTGTGTTTATTTTTCCCCCATTAATTAGAATGTTCTCCTTTCCTTCTCATCTGTACCCAGTGATGAATTTCTTAACTTTGCCCAGTTTTTAGCATCTTTTATCAGACTTGCCTGGATATTTACCTTGTGTTTTCCATTCACAAGTCTCCATCTATTAAAGTGCTTTAAATTGTTTGATTTTTCTGATTACAAAAGTAATACCTGCTCATTGTAAAAAACTCCAACATTACAAAAATGAAAAGTAAGAGCCCTTCTATTCTCTTTTGATCCCACTCCTCAGTTCACAAGAATAAATAAACTAGTGCTAATCCTTTTGGAATCTTTGTGTGTGTGCACGTACAAAGGTAGCCACAGGTTTAAACTACATGTGTAGGTTTTTGTTTTGTTTTATTACATAATATCTATATATCTACATCTGTATGTCTTCATGTGTCTGTACCTCATATAATATTGCATCTTGCCTTTTTCACTGTGCTCTGTATGAAGGATATGTCAGTATACACAGATCATCTGGTTCTCTTTAACTGGTATGGTAACTCATTCCATTGTATGTATTTACCATAATTTATTTAACTATCCCTTACCAGAAGATATTTAGAGTTGTTTTTCAGTGTTTTATTATTTCAAGCAGTGTAGCAGGGATTGTGTGTATATACCTTTGCACTTTATGCAAGCAATTCTTTTTTTTTTAATCCTCACCTGAGGATATTTTTTCCATTGCTTTTCGGAGAGGGGGTGGGGGGGAGAGAGAGAAACATAGATGTGAGAGAGACACATGGATTGGTTGTCTCCCGCATGCGCCCCTACCAAGGCTGGGGATCAAGCCTTATGCAAGCAATTCTTGATAGGGGAATTGCTGATCAAAGAATATGTGCCTTTAAAATTTGATAGGTAGCATTTTTAATATTTCATCAGATACTGTCAAATAGCCTTCTGTGTCCCATTTCCCCAGCCCTTTGTCAATACTGGATATTATCGATCATTTACATTTTTACCTATTACAGCAACAAAATATGCTTTAATTGGCATTTTTCTTTGATACAAAGGATGTTTTCATAATTTTACTGTTTGTATTTATTCTGTGACTGGCCTGTTTATCTTCTTTGCCCATTTTTCTATAGGATTATTCTTTCCTTTCTTATTTGTATTTGTTCTTTTTATATTGTGATTGTGAACCCCTTGGCTGTTAGATGTTGCATATAGCTGCTTCTAGTCTGACTTCTTTAATTTAATAAGCACTTATTACTAAATAGTGAACTCTTCTTTATGTAGCTATCTCTAGATCTAAACTGAAAGTCCTTAGTAGCCTGTTTGTCTTTGTCGCCTCAGCATTTAGCAACATGTAGTATAGATTAAATGTTCTATAAGTGATTTGCAATAAATGAATTTTATAAGACCTGACTCTTGTCTTCAAAGAACGTAAAGTCTAGCATCACATAAACTTGTCAAGACTTTAACAATAAGGAAGAAAAACAGCATAGTATCTAAATTGCATATTCAATTAAGTGTTGTAGAAAAACTTATCTAATGGGTGGCTTCTCTAAATTAGTGTTCATGAAACATCCTGCTACTCACTTTCTTTTTTGATTGACTTCTGTACTGAAAGATGAATTCTTTTAGCTTAAAAGTGAAATCTGTATGAGTCATAATGGAAACAGATAATTCTATCTTTTTTTGAGACAAGTTGCCAAGTTTAGTTTATGTAGTAATGTATTTTTCTTATACCCAATTTCAATTTTCCTTTGAATCCTAATTTTTTTCCTTGCCATTTCAGGTAAGACCATGAATTATGGCATTTCTTAATGAAGCATTCAGGAATGAAGTGAAAGTCATAACAGATAGAGAAAAAAAGTGATTTTTAAGTTATGTCTATTAATTTGACTATAGATATATATATTTACCTCCTTAGTAATGCGCGAAGTCTTTGTGGGAAGCAGAAAAGCAAGCAACTACATTTCTTGTCCTCACCTAAATATTACTGGAAGATAAGCCACATCAGTCTACAAAGAGGTTTTCATACAAGCAAAATAAGATGTAAATGGACCAAAAGTGAAGCACATTCTTGCAGTAAGCACTGTTACTCTTCAAGCAACAATGGTTTACATATTGGAATTTTGAAACTTAGCACTTCTGCTCCCAAGGGACTTACAAAAGTGAGCATTCGTATGTCCCGTATTAAAAGTACTTTGAACTCTGTTTCCAAGGCTGTTTTTGGAAATCAGAATGAAATGATCTCACGTTTAGCTCAATTTAAGCCAAGCTCTAAAATATTAAGAAAAGTATCAGATGGTGGCTGGTTAAATCAGAAAAACGTTAAACAAACCATCAAATCTCTGAAAAACTATAGTGACAAATCACCAGAAAAGAGTTCTGTTCTAGAAAAGCAAAGTCACATTATAGATAAAGGCAAAGATACTGGTAAACAAAGCCCTTTTCATTACACAAATATTATAACTACAAAATTTGGAGAGTCATTCTACTTTTTATCCAATCATATTAATTCGTACTTCAAACGTGAGGAGAAAATGTTTCAAAAAAAGGAAAACAAACATTTCCAGGACAAATCAAAACTTGAAGATAAAAAGGGTGAAGAAGAGAAATCCAGTTCTCCAGATCCTGGTGTGCTGACTGATGATAAACTAGGCTCAGAATCTTCTTCATATACTGTGGATAAGCCTGAAAGTCCCAGTGGAACACCTGAAGTTCTTCCAGTTTCTACTAAACAAAGTATTGCTAACTTTCTTTCTCGTCCCACTGAAGGTGTACAAGCTTTAGTAGGTGGTTATATTGGTGGACTTGTCCCCAAATTAAAGTATGATTCAAAGAGTCAGTCACAAGAACAGGAAGAAACCACCAAAGCTGAGCAGGCTGACAATAAAGACAAAAATGCAGAGGAGAAAAAGCGTTTATCTCTTCAGCGAGAAAAGGCAAGTTGTTATTCATGGTGGTTTTAAGTTTAAATTTTTGTCAAATTGATGTTTTATTTTCTGATGGGACCTTAGAAACTTTAACCATTTATTAATATTACTAGAGCAGTTTCATATTGTAATCATATGTATTTTAATATGTCTTTGTAGATTATTGCAAGAGTGAGTATTGATAACAGAACCCGGGCATTAGTTCAGGCATTAAGAAGAACAACTGACCCCAAACTCTGCATTAATAGGGTTGAAGAACTGACTTTTCATCTTCTAGAATTTCCTGAAGGAAAAGGAGTGGCTGTCAAGGTAGTTTTAGTTTATTTCATCTGGTTTTGTCTTGGAATGAAAATACTGATAAACCTTCTAAAATGGAGAAGGCATTACCTTTCATTTTTTTATTTAAATATTTTGTGGTTTTTATATATGTAATGTGTAATATTCAGTAATTGTCCCATATATTCTGTGATATACATTATCCTAAATGCTTCCTTTTATTCTGTGATATAAAGTATGCTATTAGTACTGATATCTGTACTTTGAGATTAAACATTTTAAAATGGCAGATAAATCTTAGTATATTAACTTTTCTTTGCCTCAGTTTTTTCAAATATAAAGTAGTCAAGATAATTTACATCCATTTAAATGGACTGTTTTCAGACAAATACTATAAAGTGTGAATAATGTGGCTGAGTCTCTATATCTGTACTACTGGGATTATTAATAATACTTAATGAACAACTTGAAAATATAATGAATAGATGATGTTAACATTTTATTAGAGATCTGTAGTGCTTATTTTTGACTTGCCATTCAGAAAATTATAAGGTAATCTAAGTCTTTGAATGATGTAGTGTTATATTGTATAATGTGTGCATTATAATAGCTAAACTTTCATGTTCATAAAATTTGGGATTATCTTTTATGTAGATGTAATCTCTTTACCTAAAAGGTAAATTTTCTAAATATAGATACGCATTTAAGTCCATTTAACATTTCAGTGATATACTGAAAGCGGAGACCGAAAATAGAATTCCATATTTTAAAGAACTATTTAAAAACAGTTTATTGAAGTAAATTGTGAGTATAAAGTTCAGTGGATTTTCACAAACTGAACACATTCATGTGAACAGCACCTGGTTAAAGATTAGATTTTACTTGTGTCCCAAATCACAATCTCCCAAAAAAGTAATCAGAATTTTACCTGATGTATATTATATGAAATATTGTGATTGGCTTCTTTCATTCAGCATATTGGTAGAAATCATTCATATTGTTGTGTATCATTGTTGTATATCATTCATTCTTGTTGCTTTTATATTTCATGGTTTGAATGTATCACAATTTATTTATTAATTGTACTTTTGATGGATTTCTGAGTAGTTTTTAGTTTTAGTTTATTGTAATAGTCTTGCTAATAGAAATTTTGAGGACTCTTATTTTGCATAACTGATCCCAGATCTAAGGACCCTTCAATGCCAGAGAGAAATGTGATAGAGGAATATATATTCAGATCAGTTATGAAAGAAAATCTTGGTAGTCTAAAGAAAGCTCTTACTCTTTCCCTAAATAATAAGAGTCTCAATAACAATTAACTTGATAAATTGCTTAAGACATGTTAGCATGTACACTTTCATGTGAACTTTACCAATGAAATTTTTAATAATTAGCAAGAATTAAGCTTTTTAAAAATGTTAGAATTGTTTATTATAAAACATCTATATGACTTTTATTTTTATGTGTGTACCATGCTTATGGTGGCCCTATCTAGGCAATTATTTTTGATATCTAATGCCCTAAAAGAAACTAGTTTCTTTTGTGTATATGTATTTCGTGTACTGCACTATGGCAGCCATATCTAGGAAATTATTTTTGATGATTTTTTCACTGTTGGTGGTGGTGAAGGTGATTTCCTTTCACTATTTTTTTCCTTTTAATAATCATTTTATTTTTTATGGAAAGTAATTCAGAGAACTCCCAACCCACATAGTGTCAGCTCACATATCTTCAACCACTGTGGTACTGTATATTCTTGCATTTATTTTTATTTATTTTTTTATCTATATTGTTGAGAGTATCACAGATGTTTCCCTGTTCCCCCCTATTACCCCCATCTACCTGGTTCCCACCCCCAAAAGTAACCTTTTCTTATTTTAAAAAAGGACAGCACGTGAACATTGTAGAAAATTTAAAAAAACGAAAGAAAATCAAAAGTAAGAAAATAAAAACGCATTTCTCCTACCCTGAGATTACCACTGTAATTAATGTATTAGTATCTATTCATATTAGTCAGATTGAGTTAAGTTCTATTAACAGACAATACCAAAATCTCAGCAGTTTAGCACAGCAGAAGTTTATTTGTCACTCATGCAAAGTTGGCTGTGGTTTTGGGTGAGTCCAAGACAGTGTACTTTCATGCAGTGGCCACTTTGATCCTGTTCCCTGTATCTTAGTACAAGGTCTCCTACATCATTTCTCTATTGGGGTAAGAGTATTTCAGCTGAAAGTGCCATCAAAACTTCTTTGTCCTGCCCAGTTGTACTGGCTTGAGAAGTATACTTGCCTTTGTGTGCCTGGAAGAGGAAGTGAACTGGGTATTGGTGAAGGTTAGTAATGTTAACCACAGTATTCCTCTGGAAGTTGTTTATATGTACTGTTTTATAACCTGTTTTTTTCAGTTTGCATTGTATACCTTTTTGTATCAGTAAATTTTCATCTCATCATACCCTGTTCAAAACTGTTCTTTATATAACTGATTAGATCTAAATGAGATTCCAGTTCAGACCATACATTTCACCTGGTTATTTTCCCTAAGTCACTTATAATATTGTGCAATCCTCCCTTATTTGCACCATCAGGACTGACTTAATTGAAGAGACTAGGCTGTTTATCTTGTAGAATGGCTCAACTTTCTGGATTTACCTGGCTTCCTCCTCATTGGTGTTATTTGCTGTATTACTCTTTCCTTTTTTTTTTTTTTCCTGAACACTGGAATTTAAATACAAAGGCATCATTGAGTTAAAGATTTTCTTATTAGAACAAATTGTAGATGATGTCATGTGCTTCATATTATATCCTATTAGAACACATAATTGGTTGAACAATTATTATTAATGCTAAGGCTGACCACTGGATTAAGGAAATGACAATCCTATCTTTTCATTCGACATTTAGACTAGAACCATTATTCCATCAGCCATTAACGTAATTATTTCCAGAACTAGTCATTTCATTCGGGTTTCAGAATAAATGTCTAATTCTATCATTCCTCTGCACTGTAATTGATATTATTCTCTAAAAGTAGAGCTTTTCTTCACCAGCTAAAGTTATTTGGTTATTCTCAAAGACCAATTTTACAGGAAAAGCAAGACATTAATTTCTTTCTAGTCACCAATTTTCAAAGTCAAGAGTTGCTTTAAAAGCTACCTCATTGGTGACATCAGTTTTTGGCTTTTTTTTTTTTTTACTATCATTATGAACTCACAGATTTTAATAAATTGTGTTTCTATTTTTAGATCAATAACCCTTTTTTCTCCCCCCTCTTTTTTTTAAATGTTGAATTTGTCTCAACTTTGCGTAGTAGGGGCCCACCCCTTCAGGCTGATTTACATGTCTTTTCAAAAAGTTATTATAGCCCAGCCCGCATCCACCTATGAACCAGGAGGTCACAGTTTAATTCCCTGTCAAGGCACATGCCCAGGTTTCGAACTTGGTCCCCAGTAGGGGACGTGCAGGAGTCAGCTGATCAGTGACTATCATCACAGATGTTTCTTTCTCTCTCTCCCTCTCCCTTCCTCTCTCTGAAATCAATAAAAACATATTTTTAAAAAAGTTGTTATAAAAATATATCATAAATATCATATCACAAAAATATCAGTATATAAATTATACAGCTCCATGAGTTTTCAAAAATTGAACACATCTGTAAATTACCACCCACTGTAAGAAAAAGAATATTACCAGTATTCAAAAGTTCCTTCTAATCACTAGCTTCAAAAAGATTGACCGGTGTTTCTGATTTCTAGCAGTGTAGATTAGTTGTTCCCTTTTCTACATATTATATAAATGGAATGATATAGCATGTGCTCTTTTATGTGTATTTTTTTTCTCCACTCAACATAATGTTGGCTAGAACTTTCTATATTACTGTGGAACATTTATTCTCATTGTGGTGTATTCTGTGGTATGAATATAGCACAATGTATTTATTCATTTTAGTGCTGATGGACATTTGGATACTTTCCAGTTTGGTAATATTTAAGAATAGTGCTTCTGGGAAGTGTCTTTTGGAAAAGTTTTGTTTTCATTTCCTTTGGGTGTATACCCAAAAGTAGTATTCCTGGTCATAGTGTGTGCCTGTTTTCATCTTTAGTAGATACTGCCAAAAGGTTTTGCAAAGTGCTTATACAAATTTATACTTTCACCAGAACTGTATGAGCCTTCTGGTTGTTCTACTTCCTCTCCAGCACTTTATATTATTTACCTTTTTCAGCCATTTTGTTGGATGTTTAGTGATATTAAATTGTGGTTTTAATTTATATTTCTCTGGTAACAGTGAAGTTCAGCATCTTTACCAGTATTTATTGGCCATTTGTATACTTCCTTTGTGAAGTGCATATTCCAGGTCTTGCTCATTTTTCCATTGGATTGACCAGCTTTTTCTTACTGATATGGAGAATCTTTTTATATATAATGGATATAAATATTTCAATATATTTTATAATATATGTATATACAATATACATATATATTTATTATTATAAATATATTATCCTACTCTGGTTCACCTTTTCTTTCTAATGGTTTTTTACAAACATATTCTTAATTTTAATTTTGTCCAAGCTGTAAACATTTTCCTTTATGCTTGGTATTTGTGTCCTGTTTAAGATATCTTCGCCTATCCTAAGATCATGAAGATATTTTCCTGTGTTTTCTTCTAAAACTTTATTGTTTTACCTTTCATACATATCTACTATTCGTCTAGAATAGATTAGGTTTTATGGTGTGAGGTAGGAGTCTTGACTTTTCTTTTAAATACACATATCCGTCCCTGGCCAGTTTGGCTCAGTTGGAGCATCACCCTGTACATCAAAAGATTGTGGGTTTAATTCCCGGTCAGGGCACATACCCAGGCTGCAGTTTCCATCCCCAGTCGAGGCATATGAGGGAGGCAACTGATTGATGTTCCTCTCTCACATTTATGTTTCTCTCCCTCTCCCTTCCTCTCTAAAAAAATTTAAAAAATTAAATACACATATCCAGTTGACCTAGCACATAATTGAAAAGACTTGTCGTAAATCAGGTAATTATATATGGATCTGGTTTTGTATACTGTACTCTGTTCCATTGGTATATTTATCCTTGTTCCAGTACTATGCTGCCAAAATTATAATTTTATAATGAATTTGATGTCTGGTAGTACAAGTCTTTCAACTTTGTTCTTCCTCTTAATAATTGATTTAGGTGTTCTTGGCACATTGTATTTCCATATAAATTTTAGAATCAGCTTATCTATAAAATTTTTAAAAAGAAGAAAAATTCATGCTATGATTGCATTGACTCTATAGATCAATTAGGGATGAATTGAGTCTTTATAATATTGAGTCTTCTAAGCCTTGAATATGTATATTCTTCCACTTATTTGGACTGTATTTTCCCTCAGTGTATTAGGACATTTGGACTGCTATAGCAAAATACCAGCTAGGTAGCTTATAAACAACAGAAGTGTATTTCTCAGAGTTCTGGAAGCTAGAAGTTCAAGATCAAGGTGCCAGCATAATCACCTTCTGGTGAGGGGGCCCTCTTCCTGGTTCATAGCTGATTCCTTCTTACTGTGTCCTCATATGCTGGCAGGGACAAGGGATCTCTGTGAGGCCTCTTTTATAAGGGCACTAATCCCATTCATGAGAGGTCTGCCCTCATGACCCAAACACCTCCCAAAGGCTCCTCCTACTAATACTAATCTTTGGAGGTTAGGATTTCAACATACGAATTTTGAGAGGACACAAGTATTCAGACTAGAGCACTCAATGATTAAAAAATTTTGAGTGTCAGTGAATTTCACATCTTTCATTTGGTTTTTAAAAAATTAATTGCTAGGTATATGATGTTTGGGGGTGGTAATTTTATTTTTGTTATTTTTATTTTAGTATATTCTATTGGTAGTTATTATATCAGGATCAGTTCTTGGTCTTTGATCATTTGGTACTGGTTTCACATACCATATAATTTTTCTGGATACTGGACTTTGAATTTAAAAAAATTGCTTAGGATCTAGATATATCAAATGATTTCTTTTTCCTGAGATAACTTATTTGTTCCTCTGCTTGAAACATAGAGTGGGGGCACTGATGACTTTAATTCAGTTTGGGTCAGAGCTGGGTCAAGGCTGAGTTATATTTGTGGGACCTTTAGTTTGCCCTCTTTTTAGGGCATAGTTCTCAAGGGCTTGCAGTTGAGAGCTGGTGTGTTCACTGCCACTACCCTCCTGAGCCCTAAAATCACAAGAGTACACAAAAATTGCACTCTCATCTCCAGAGTTTTCCAGCTTTTACTTTGCACACTGCATAGTTAAAGAATCCACCAAATATCTTGAGGTGAAACCAGCTTTGTGATTGAGGCTCCTCAAGTCCTAAGTTTTGTGGCTCCAAACCCATGAGACTGGTTTCTTTTTCCTCCATGTATGTTCGTCCTCTGTCTGAACTAGTTTTTCAATCTTTAGTTTCTTCTCCAACTCAGCAAATGCTTCAGAGGGAAAAAAGCTATAGTTTATGAACTCACTTCCCAGCAATTATCCTCTTTCCAGAATCTTAGCCTTATTGCTTCAGCAGCTCTTCAGTGCTTTTAAACAAATGACACTTCAAAAAAAAAGGTTTTTAATTGTTCCTACACAGAGGCTATTCTTTCCTAACCAGCATAGAAGTTAACATTTTCATGCTCCACCATTGCTGAGGTTCCTCTGATGGGGCCTTAGAGCTCAACACTAAACCAGGGCAAATAAAGCAAAACATTGAAAAAATTTAGAATAGTGTTTTAGATTTGATTTATAATAAATAGAAACAAAATGAGTGATACATTGGGAAGTTATTTGATTTACTGGAGGTTACACAGCACAAGTATACCTGCCACTCAACTTATTCCTTTAACCTTTAAATCTGGGCTATTGACCAGATAAGATGCTTCTGTGCACAGAACACCCCCCCACCCCACCCCGGTCACCTGAGTTGGGCACTCTAGGTGCACCCCTGTGTGGGTTGTGTGCACTGCCCTGTTATAGTCGAGCCTTGATTGCTGTTGGCATCACTGGGAGGAATTGACCCTCAGGCCAATGGGCTGTGAGGACCAGCCTCAACTACAGCAGAAGAGCCCTGTGCAGGAGACCCCCTATGGAGCAGGACTTGCTTCAGGGAGGCTTTGGTAGTCACTGAGTCTGCCCCTTGAGTGTGTCGCTCATGGATGTGGTAGTGTTGTAATCTGGTGTGGTCTGAAGCTGACCACTGGGTGCACTGGCTCTGGGGCCTCCCAGGAGGTACAAATTCAGCTACTGCCTATGCCCTGCTTGGGGCCACCCAGCATGAGCTACAGAGAGATTTGCAGTTGGCTGCTATTTGTGCTGGGCTTGGAGGTGCCCAGGAGAGGCCAAGCTGTGAGCAAAGGCAAGCTGCTGCTGCTAGTGCCGGGCCTGGGGCCACTTATCTAGAGGTATTGGGCACGTTGAGGCCAGCTGCTGCTTGTTTGAGAGATTTTCTAGAGGTTAATTTTTGACTTAGATATTGGGACACATATATTCTATATATTAATTGACATTAATATGTCAAACAGTAATGTATCATTTAAGATTGCTGAGAAAGTAATAAACACTTGTACCTTGATTGCATGTGATAGTCTACACGGTTAAAAATCATACATTTTCATTTTTGATTTGACAAAAAGAACAAAAAAAATCTTTTTTTCTCAATATAGGAGAAAATTATTCCATATTTATTACGATTGCGACAAATTAAGGATGAAACTCTTCAGGCTGCAGTTAGAGAAATTTTGGCTTTAATTGGCTACGTGGATCCAGTGAAAGGAAGAGGAATCCGAATTCTCACAATTGATGGTGGAGGAACAAGGTAGGACTAGAAAAATTATTTATCTAATTTTAATTTTATTTTATATTTTTATTGATTGATTTTTTTTTTAGAGAGAGAGAGAGAGAAACATTGATAAATTCCACTTATTTATGCATTCATTGGTTGATTCTTGTATGTTCCCTGACTGGGGATTGAACCAGCAACATTGGCATATGGGTACGGTGCTCTAACCAACTGAGCTACCTGGCCAGGGCTAGAAAAATGATTTTTAAAAACTATAGTTCCAATTCAGCCATAGGAATTTTAAAAAACTAATTTGGTATAATTATGTCATTTCAAATTTTAAAAATTTTAAATATACTTTTATTGATATTTTAAATGTATTTTATTTTTATTGAGAGAGGAAGGGAGAAGGTAGAGAGATAGAAATATCAATGATGAGAGTCATTGATCGGCTGCCTCCTGCACACCCCCTGCTGGGGACCGAGCCTGCAACCTAAGCATATGCCATGATCAGGAATCGAACCTCAATCTCCTGGATCATAGGTCTGTGCTTAACAGCTGAGCCACGCTGGCTGGGCATAAACTAGAATTTTTTAAACAAAACATGAAATTGCTTTTCTTAACTTCCTTCTTTTTTTTCCTTAATCTTCACCCAAGGATATTTTTTCCATTGATTTTTAAAGAGAGTGGAATTGAAGGGAGGGAGAAGTGGGGAAGGAGAGAGAGAGAGAGAGAGAGAAACATGGCTTGATTGCCTCCCACCCTCACCCTACCTGGGGCCAGAGATTGAACCTGCAACCCAGGTATTTGCCCTTTACTGGTAATCGAACCCATGACCTCTGGTGCATGGGCCGATGTTCTAACCATTGTGCGACACAAGCCAGGGCTTAATTTACTTCTTTATCAATCTCAGAGCTTCTTTAACCATATCTGAATTTCTTTAATTTGACCTAGTATTTATAGCTTGGTCTTTTCATAATGTTTTTGGTAGTTTAGGATTTATCAACCAAGATTCTCTTAAAATGTTGGCAGTATTTTATAATGTTTGCTTTCTTTTATTATATTTATCATACCCATATGTCAACTAATCATTTAGTAAAGTGATAGTTATAAAAGGAGCCTATATCTGTAACTTCTCAACCCCCTATATCTTCACTTTCAGATGCCAGTTCTGGCACTACACAAGAATTATTAAATGTACTCTTAGCTCAGAAGATAATTTTACCATTAAGCTTCATTCTTACTACTGGTAATCCATCCATGCTTTTTATTCTGTCTTAGTTTGTCCTGTTTTTTAATACTTGTTGGTTAGATTCTTTGGCTTAGTTTTATGACCCTTTCCCCAAATTTGCTAGCTTAGGTTTCAGTTTCTTGCCATCTCTACTCTTACCTCTTAGATTCATAGTACCTACCTGCCTATTGTTCTTAGATTAATTTACCTCTCTGACTTCATTTTCTGGTATACTTGCTTTGCCAATCACTTTTCTATTTGTTCAAGTTCTGCCCTTTTTGTTAAATTTTATAGTCTAGGCAAAGGACAATGAAATACCGAACTTGGATGGTGGCCAGTGGGAAACAGGAGGAAGGAACAATATGCAAAATATTTTGAAGGAAAAGGGAGGCTGGATATAATAAAAACAGGTCAAGATCACTCATAAGTGTAAACCTTATGGATGACTGGGATACAATTGCAGGGAAAGGGGAGGAGGTGATTGGTATTGAGAAAGAATATAAGGTATCACACATCCACTTAGAAGTGCTTAGTTGGCAAATAAAGATAGAATTTTGATTGAGAGAAAAGTCTTAGAAGATCTTTTGGATCTTTGGTAGGGAAGTGAACTAATCCAAGAAGGTGGACATCATTCATGTGATAAAGTTGTCATGAATTGGAAATAATCATTCTAATTCATAGAATTGTTTCCAAGTGATGAGAAGTAGGGAAAGTGGCAGTTAAGTGAGTAAGGAATTTCACTGAGGACTAGGAAGAAGCCAGTCTTCTCTGCCATTAAAGTCAGGGGAGTTGGGAGGGATGGTGTCATTCATTGAGTCAACTAACAAGTATTGAGTGCTTTCCATGTTCTAAGTACTGATTTAGATCCTGCCTGGGGTCACTCAGTAAACAAAACGTGAAATTCAAGTCTTCATGGTGCTACTCTTCTAGAGGAGGAAGAAAACAACAAATAGAAAAACAAAACAAATATTATTGAGTAATGGGTGCTATGATGAAAATGAAAGCAAGGTAAAGGGATAGAGACTAAGAGTGCTATTTCAAAGAGTGAGCATGACTGTGACTTGTTTTTGAAGTAACATTTAAGTAGAGATCTGAAAGAACATTAAAGGACATTCAAATGTCTGTTTAGAGTGAGGAAGATATGGTGAAAAGAGCTTTGTGACCAGTATCTGACTCTCTAGAATGGGAGTTTTGATAATGTAGAAATTAGAGGGAAGACAGTTGGGAAAACCTCAAGGTGCGTTAGGATGAAGGTAAGTTTAGATTTATGATTTTCCACTGGAGGTACCGTCTCCCTAGAAGACATTTGTATCTGGAGACATTTTTGGTTGTAACAACTGGGGGACTGTCACTTGCATCTAGGGAGAAGACAGTGGCTGTTAACTATCTACCATGCATAGGATAGCCCCCTACAACAAAGAATTACACATCCCAGAATGTCAAAAGTGCTGCTGTTGAGAAACCTTCATTTAGGGGAATGTGAGAAAGCAGACAGAATGGGAAATTTGTGTTCAAAGGAGTGAGATATGGGGGCTTGTAAGAAAAAGAATTCTTATTTCTTTTATTTCTTTTGTGTAAGAAAACCTGGTATAGTGTTAGGCATATAGAACCAACCTGGCAAGTATATTTATTTTTAAATTTACTCTGAGTTAATTTATAAATACAGCATTTTTAAATAGTTTCTTCCTCATTATACAAGTAAAACTTGGGAGAAAAAAATATATAAACAAATCATAGCTCAGAATTTCAAGATTGTTTTTAATATTTTTATTTCTTCAAATTTTTTTTTCTAGGTGAGTATATATGTACATGTTTTATTTTTTTAAGTAATGGAGATCACATTGTTAAATATATTTTATTCAGCATTAACTTTTATTTTTATTTTTAATATATCTTTATTGATTTCAGAGAGAGGAAAGGCGAGAGAGAGAGAGGTAGAAACATCAATGATGAGAGAGTCATTGATCGAGCCAGCAACCCGGGCATGTGCCCTGACCGGGAATCGAACCCCAATCGCCTTGATCCTAGGTCAATGCTCAACCGCTGAGCCACACCCGGCCGGGCAGCATTAACTTTAATTCTTTGTGTCTTACCTTGAATTCCTACTGTATCTCTCTTATGAGCCATCTTATGTACTCTTTCCACTCTTCAAATCCACATTACTTCTTGCAATTAAAAAAAAAAAAAATCAGCATTTTTGGTTTTCTACTTGAATTTTAAAATATTTTCTGATGACTTCATGTCACAGTATCAAAGCACAATTTGGCACTCTAAATTTTATTTTGTGGTGTCTGACTACCATTGTGTTCCAGGACTTCTCTGCCTCACATCTGGTTTTGGGATTATAACATTTCATTATTTCTGTATATTCTCCTAGTGTTAAGAATTATCCATGTCCTAGAGGGCATTATGCTAAGTGAAATAAGTCAGACAAAGACAGATACCATATGATTTCACTTATATGTGTAATGTAAAAAACAGAATTAATGAACACACAAAACAAGCTAATGGTTGCCAGATGGGAGCAGTTTGAGCAATGGTGAAAGGTAAAAGGATTTAGAAGTACAAATTGGTAGTTATAAATAGTCACATTGATGTAAAGTACAGCATAGTCAAATATATTGTAATAACTATATATAGTGTCAGATGGGTACTAGACTTATTGGGGTGATCACTTTGTAAATTATATAAATATCTAATCACTGCGTTGTACACCTTATACTAATATAATACTGTATATCAACTATAATTGAAGAATAAATTAAAAAAAAAAAAGAATTATCCTCTTGTTACACATGCCCTGAATTGGCCTACACTTAGACTATTTTATGTTTCATATTCATTATGAAGATATTTGCCACCTTTGGCAAATATATCCTTAATGTAGAGCATTGTCCTAAGATTGTTAAGTTTTAAAAAATGATGAAGGCTTAAAAATATGACTTGTGAAATATATAAAACAAAACTGTATAGATGCATAGGTGACCAACTACAATAGTGAGAGAAGGAATCAATATATGCCCTCCCCAAACTAGTGAGTGGAAGCTTTAAGTATTTTCCTTAGTTGGGGTATTTTTTTTTTTTTTAAATCTTACATTGGCATATTTTTATAGTATAAATTTAAAAACATACATCGATAGCATGAGTTTTGTGTCATTATTTAGATATTGGATATTCAGCCCTGGCCAGTTTGGCTCAGTTGGTTGGAGCATCCTCCTATACACCAAAAGGTGGTGGGTTTGATCCCTGGTCAGGGCACATGCCCAGGTTGCTGGTTTGATCCGGGTCAGGGCATGTATGGGAGGCAACCTTTCGATGTTTCTTTCTCACATTAATGTCTCTTTCTTTTTTTTCTTAACATCAATAAAAGCATATCCTTGGGTGAGGATTAAAAAAAAAAATTAAAGATATCGGATATTCAAAAGTCTCCTTAAAAACTTAAGCAACCTTTACTGATGCTGAATTATATTATTAGTTTTCATGTTAGCATATAAGCTAGAAAAGCAACTTTTAGGATTGTTTTATTCAATAACTTAACTGTCCTTGAAACAGGAATTCTCACTTCACCTTTATCTTTTCTATAGGGGTTTGGTTGCTCTTCAGACACTGCGAAAATTAGTTGAACTTACTCAGAAGCCAGTTCACCAGCTGTTTGATTACATTTGTGGTGTAAGCACAGGTAATTATTATTATGGGGATGGTATATCCCAGCAGTGCATTAATAAAACATTAAACATTTATGTTCAAGATCATTCTTTGAAATTATGGGTATTAATTTCATGTTTTGATGATGAATAATCCCTTGGTTTGCTTAATTAACTTCTAAAAATATATATGGGAATAAATTAACATTCAGAAAAAAGTTTTTAATGTGCTTTCTAATATTTTATAAATAAGTCACAAGTGACCAGTTACGAATTATGAGTTATTGCTTTATGGTAAAGTCACCTTAAGTGATGAAACGGAAGGAAGGTAGGTACTCAAATTGTACTTGAATCAATAGAATATTAAAGGTGGAAAGGATTGTACTTATTTATGAGAGGTGTTCCTCTGTGAGTTAATTGCTTCGTCTGTCATTTTTCTTTAATCTGGTTGGTTGAAGCCAGAATTTAAATTGATAAGTGTGAGAATCTATGTTTATTAAAGGCTGTTTTTAATATTGCTAGTTGATACACATTTAAAATTATAGTTTCATGTTTGTATAGAAGAAATTGGCAGCTTAGAATATAATTGTATGGAATAATTTCTTAGTTTTTATTGACTCACCATCAGATGAATTTTTGTTTTATTCTTTTTTTTTTTTCCTATTTCCTTACCCCAGCTCTCTCACCTATCTATTCCCCACCCCCAACACCTCCCACCCCTGCACATCAAGTCTCAGGATACCCATTGTTATTGCTTACTTCCCAGGTAATACTCAAGGACTATTAAGATTGCACATCCTTGCTGTATATTTTATTGTTTGACCTGATAATTTCTCACTTTACATTAGTTTATCTTCAGAGATTTTAATTTCTACTTCTTTAACATTTTTTTTGAATTATAATAGTAGTTCTAAAGACCACTAGTAACAAAATCAAATGATTTATCTGCATTACATGTGTCAAGTATGACAAAAATTCCCAAAGGGCGTGTCAGTTGCTGCTCAGTTGTGAAAACTAAATGAGAGCAGTTGTAGGGATGATTCAAAAGTATAAGAAAACAGCGATCCCTATGTTGTTCCGCTGAACACTATTCCTCAGGATGTTAGTAAATTTGGAAAATGTTGAGTTAAAGGAAGTTAAACAGGTATCTTTACATGGGGATTTCTGATCTCACTTAGTATGTTAAAAATGCATTGTGACTTTCAGAATTGGAAAATAATATGTATATCCCAAATTGATTTAACTGTGGAAACTTTTAATTTTATTTTTAATATGATTTTATTGATTTCAGAGAAAAGGAGAGGGAGAGAGAGATAGAAACATCAATGATGAGAGAGAGTTAATGATCCACTGCCTCCTGCACACCCCCTACTGGGGATCGAGCCCAAAACCCTGGGCATGTGCCCTGACCGGGAATTGAACTGTGATGTCCTGGATCATAGGTCAGTCAGTGCTCAGCCTCTGAGCCATGCCGGCCAGGTGGAAACTTTTCTCAGACATTTCCCAGGGCTAGTGTTCTTTGGTACTTTTCTTAGAGCTATTACCTATTGACTATTTCTTTTACTTTAGGATGGTCCTAGCTATCCAAACATTTAAACACATCTACAAGGCAACTTCTTGCTTTGGCACTATTCTTAGTAGGTAGGTACTTATGAAAGAATTTTAAATTACAGAGATTCACCCATGGGGTAGAATATCAGTTTATGAAATATGTACATTTCTGTATGATCACAATATACCTTTTCCATTGTTTTCTAGCTTATATTAAACTTAATTTGTAATATAGTACTTCTGATTTTCCTTTCTTTTTTTCCATTTTGTATATTCTAATGTAGAACTTTTGTTTCACTTATAATTTCTATAAAGTTAATAAATATATACTTAATTCAAGGATAACATACTTACCAGTTCAATAAAATTCAGTTTTTTAAGTATCTGTTCATCTTTGTAGTAGCTCCACTTAAAAGGAAAGGAACTTAGTTTTTTGGTAAGGTATTTCTTGTGTTAGTTACAACTTTTCTACAAATTGAAAAATAGCAATTTCTATTATATAGTTCTGCCAAACAGAGTATGCTGTCTTACCTTTTACTAGAATAAGACTAAGTATAATAAAATACTTAAAATACTTCAAATACATTATGAGAGTGATTTTCTGTTTTTTATTTCTTTGCAGTCTCAGAGTAAGCAGTGATGCTATACAGGCCTTTTCCTTGTCCCACCCCCTAAAACCTTTCTCCAGTTTTTCTTGTTAGTTCTGGGTTAGGCCAATTAGGTACACTAGGTGGCAGTGTGTCCTACCAATTGCAGCTAGGATATGAAATCTGCTATTTAAAAGGACATCCAGAGACCTAATTTCTTTAATTACATTGATTCCCAGGACCAGTCTGAAGAAGCAATTTTTTAACAAATTGGCAAGTTGTCAAATATCTTATGACCAAAACTAAGGAATTTATTAAGGTTAGAAAGGACTTTCTCTACCACAGTATCCTAATTATATTTTACTTAATGTAGTATAAAATGACACATTTTTATATATTTTTAAATTATCATCATCATTGGTTGCCATTTATGTGTCCTTATTGAGGCCTAGTAAATAAAGACTTTTACATGTATTATCCCAATATAAGAACCTTATACATTTTAGTTGTTGTAATTACCCTTATTTTATAGATGAAAAAAATAGGGCTCTGAGAGGTTGAGTAGTTTGTCCCAGGTAACACAGTTTGAAAGTTTCAAAGGTAGAATTTTAACCAAGTCTATGATTCAGGAAATCTTATAAGTACTGTAATGTCAATACAGACTAAAACTAAAGATTTTTTTCTTTCAGGTGCTATATTGGCATTCATGTTGGGATTATTTCATATGCCTCTGGATGAATGTGAGGAACTTTATCGAAAATTAGGAACAGATGTGTTTTCACAAAATGTCATTGTTGGAACAGTCAAAATGAGTTGGAGCCATGCATTTTATGACAGTCAAACATGGGAAAATATTCTTAAGTAAGTTATAATTATTCTTTTAAAAGCTGTTTTATCTAGGTAATATGTGCATGTTAATTTTAAAAATGCTTAAAAATATTAAGAAGAATATTAAATTATTGATCCTATTAGTTAGAGATAATCACTATTAATATTTTGGTAAATCTAGCCACTATTTCTTGGGTTCATGTGTGTGAGATTTTCATGTAAAAGTTGCAATTGCCTTTTTAAAAATTGAGACCGTATTCTATATAGACCATGTTTGATCCTATTGTTTTTACTTACCATATTAGTTTTTCTTAGAAGTCATAATTTTTAAACATGTTTCCAAAGCACAACAAAGCCCTTATACCCACTTTCCAAAAATAAAAGCATGAAGTAGAAACTTAAAATCATTCACAATCTTAATATTCAGAGTGATAGACCTTGTAATATAGGTCAGTTTATAAGCATAATTATTTGGCCAATGCTGATGTGTTTTAAAAATAATCATATAGGAAATAGAGAACATATAGAGAAAACAATCAAAATAACATACAATCTCACTATTAACATGGTGATGTATTTTTTCCCAGAGTTTCTTACAAATAAATTAGTGTATGTATGTATGGGATTGTGAGTGTGCATATGTATTTATTCCCTTCACAAAATTGGGATGATAATGCTCGTGTAATTTTGTATCCTGCATTTTTACCTTAGCATTTTATCATGAATGATTTCCTGTTCATTGTTTTCTGGGACATGTTTTAATGGTTGTTCACTGTCATATTTTATGGATGTACTATTTAACAATTCTATATTGGAAAAGAAGGATACCTTAGACATTTTTACAGTTTAAAATAAAGGTGAAAGGACATCCTACATCTCTACTTAAATCTTTGATTACACTTTAAGGTAAATTTCTAGAGTGAAATTTTGGGTCAGAAAGTATACATGTTTTAAAAATTAGTATATGTTATTGAGTCAAAACATTTGACCCAGTTTACTCACCTACCCGCATCAATTTGTATTTCCATTTCACTAAACATTTTAATTTTTTTTTTTTAATATATCTTTATTGATTTGAGAGAGAGGAAAGGAGAGGGAGAGAGAGATAGAAACATAAACGATGAGAGAGTCATTGATCGGCTGCCTCCTGCACGCCCCCGACTGGGGATCGATCCCGCAACCTGGGCATGTGCCCTGACCAGGAATCGAACCCCGATCACCTGGATCCTAGGTCGATGCTCAACCACTTAGCCACATCCAGCCAGGCTAAACATTTTAATTTTAAAACTGTGTCAGTTTGAGAGACTTTTAAACTGGTGTTTCAAATTTGCATCACTTTGATTATTGATGAATTGGAACATTTTTATATTTCGATTATATATTTTCTTCTGAATTTCAAGGTCATAATATTTTCTTATTCCTATCAGGCCATTTCTCACTATAATGTAAATATATTAAATATTTATTTGTTGAAAATGTGCTTTTTAATGTTAGAGGAATTTAACATCTTTACTTAGTCATCTCTTTTTTAAATTTTAACTTTCATGTTTAGGAAGTCTTTTCTACATTGAAATCAAGTAGATCTTTATATTATTTTCTAGTTCTAAGGTTTAATTAATTTCATTTTTAATTCTTATCTGAAATTTATTTTGATGTATATTGTAAGGGAATCTGACTTAACCTTTTACTCCAATATTAATTTTAATGTCCCCGTACCTTTTACCAAGTACTTTTTATTTCTTTTTGATTTGAAGCACCAGCTTTATCATATTTTAAATTCTTATCTATATTAGAGTCTATGTCCAAGTTTTTGGTTTTTATCTATTGATTTTAAAAATTTTAGTCCAAATTTACTATTTAGATATTGATACTTTTTATACAGGCATTTTTCCAATTGAATGATCTTCCCATTCATTAATGTTGTTTGCTGCTTATTTTTTGGGTCTTCTTTTGTGTCTATTAAAAAAATTGTATCCATTCTCAAATTATAAAATCATAGTACTGGTTAGATTTTTTTCATGAAGATTTGAAAATTTACTGCAAAACCAGCCTCTGTGTTCTGAAATGTTTTTTCCCTTTTTTTACTCATTGGAATATCTTCATGCGTTGGCATATTGCTATTGATAAACTTTCCAACTGTAGTCAGTTGTTTTTTTCCTTTCCCTACTTTTCCTCTCAACCTTTGCTGCAAAACAAACCACTACAAAACTTAGTGTTTTAAAATGACAGTGGTTTAGTCTTATGCCACTGTGGTTTGACTGGGTGTTTTTTCTGTTCTTGTCTAAACTCACTCACATGGCTGTTGGCAGTCAGCAGCTCAGCTGAGATGTCTGGGACAGCTGGTCTCTCTCCACATGGTCACTCTCATCCTGGACTTCATCTTGTATTGGCGGTCTCAGAGTTCCAAAAGGTCAAGCCCCAGTATGAAAGTATTTATCAAGCCTCAGTTTATTTTATTTATTTATTCATTTATGCTGCAATATATATATATACTTTTTTTTTTTCAATTCAAAGAGAATCAACAGTAATACACCATACATTTTTTTTTGACACTCACCAAAATAGTCATGTGTGGTAAACCTGCTTTTTGTGACAAAGTACAGAAGGCTTGGTCACATTTAAATCACTGAGAACTAGCCAGGCCAGCATGGCTCAGTGGTTGATGGGCGTGCAGGAGGCATCCAGTTGATGATTCTCTCTCATCATTGATGTTTCTATCTCTCCCTCTCCCTTCCTCTCTGAAATCAATAAAAACATGTTTAAAAATAAATCACTAACTAGAGAGAAATACTATCTCAAACTATAATAACAGACATTACATCCCTATAAATTTTCCCAATCCTTATTATAATATTGCACAGTGTAATTGCTAAATGGCAAACTAGTGTAGCATAAAAGTAAAAGCAAGAACAAACAAGCCAAAGAAAGAAAACGTAAGTCTAAAATTGTTAAACAGTTAACAGTTCAATCAGTAATAATCAAATCTATCATTGGGTACATTAAAACAAATCCTACACCTTGCCTTGTACGACTTAACTTTTACTTAACATAAACCGAGTTTAAAATTAGTAGTAGAGATTTTAAAAAAGAAAAGGTTTTCCTTTGGCATGTCGGCCAGTGTTCCATTGACCAAAGCCACTGGAACCCAGGGTTATATGGGAAGGAACTATATACAGGGTTATAGATCTCAGGAAGTGAGCCATTGGGGGCCATTATTATAATCTATCACACCTACTCTCTATGTTGTCTAAGATGTTTTTGTCTTTTTCCCCCCCTCTCATTGTTTATTGAGAGCATTTTTATAGGTTGTTGTTTTTTTCCTGTGGTAATGATTTTATGTTATTTTAGGGTTACTACTTTTAATTATAGCATTAGTAGAATCTAGGAATGTTCAGATATTTTTGTATTTTGACATCTCTGAAATAAATAATGTTCCTCACTTTATTTTTGAATCTATATTTATAACTTAATTCACTAATGCATTTCGGTTCTGTTAATAAAATCAAAGTTTAAACAAAAAGTAAATGTGAGTTTTGCTTAAACTATGAAAGCAGCATGCTCCCAGGATCTCTGTCCAATTTTACAGCTAGATTTCTATGAAAAGATAAAGTGAAAGATCTGTAGAAGAATAAAACTGCATTGATTTTCACACAGAAGTAACATAGGTCAGGTTGGGAAAGACAAACATCTTGTCTGTTTTATAAAGTATTTTACATTGATATTTTTTAAAGATTGTGAAAGGTAGATCACTACCTAATTTGTACATACTACCCTTATGTGACTTCACTAGCATTCTAGTTGAGAAACATGAGAATTATTTGAAAAAATGTCATTAGAAAAATCTACGTTTCTTATTGAGGCAGGTTATTTAAAAAACAAAGAAACAAAAACCCCACATAGTTTTTATGTTCAATACAGGGTGAAAACATAATTTTTAAGTCAGGAAAAATTCTGCACTGAAATAAAATTCCCCTATAATGGAATTGTAAAAGTAGCTGCCCATCCCTGGCCGGTCTGGCTCAGTGGCTAGAGCATCGGCCTATGGACTGAAGGGTCCTGGGTTCGATTTCGGCCAAGGGCATGTGCCTTGGTTGCAGGCTCTATCCCCGGTCAGGAGGCAACCAATCGGTATGTCTCTCTCACATTCGTGTTTCTCTCTCTCTCTCTTTCTCACTTCCACTCTCTCTGAAAAGCAATGGAAAAAATATCCTCAGGTGAGGATTAAAAAAAAAAAAGCTGCCCAAGGACAATTTCTGTTGCAGTAATTCAAATGCCAACTCAGATGACTTTAAAATGTGACTTCACATTTTTTGTAGGGTGACATTGGCTTTGAATTGCTAATACAAGTGTCCTGATCTGGTGTTTGAATTACTCTGTAACAAGCCTACCCATTCTGCAGTCTTAATCTCAACACAGCAATTTTATTCTTTCAGGAGGACCCTGAAAACAACAGATTGATTCTGCCTCTGTGCCTTTCCCCTGCTTATGTCCTGAATTTAAATGTGTAACTTTGCCATGTTTTGGTGTCCTTTTCAAGCTACACCTCCATGCATCTTTCCCAGATATTGCCCTCTCATAACCTTAGATATTTGTAGTTTGAGTCAGAGAATAACAGACACTAACCACATATTTTTTCATGTGCATTAATTGGATGATAAGCCTCCTAGAGGAGATTCATATACTTTTTTTTTAAATTTGGTCCCTCATAGCGCTTTGCCAAAGCCATAGGCAGTCAGTATTTACATAGCATCTGTTTCCAGATGTTAGGAGATAAATCATTTTGATATAATTTATTTCTTCTCCTTTAATAAAGGGATAGAATGGGATCTTCACTAATGATTGAAACAGCAAGAAACCCCACATGTCCTAAGGTAAGTTTAGAGTGTATAACACCTAGTTGGAATTGAAGGTCAGGTGAAAACACTTACGCTGCAGACCCTTTATTAAAGGAAACATTTCTTAGGAACTTCTTTTAATAAGTTATGTTGATTCCTTATATGTTGAGTCATTCTATGAAGATATAGGATGTGATCTTTAGGCCTTTTCTATATATAGTAAAAGTACAACAAAAGTTTAAGAACATGAATGACTGAGACTAAAGATAAGGAAGAATTATCATAAGGGTTAATGAAATCCAGTGACTTAAGATAAATTGTATCATTTTCTCTCCTAGATTTTTTAAAAGAAATTATATATGCCTCTTACATATATATTAGATTAATATACAAATGGAACCCCAATTTTAAAAATGTAGTTGTTACTAGAATAAGCCTCAACATGGCTTCTCTTTTTGTTTTAAACACAATGATCTGAGTGAGTATTGCTTAAGTTTTATGTTCTTTGATAATACTTGTTATTTGATTAAGGAATAGGATTTCTGCATCTAGGAATTCCATGCAGCTTGTATTTATTTTTGGATAGCAAGCTGTAACCATTAGCTCTCTCTATTGCTCTTTCACTCCTACTTATTTATCTTTTCATTCATTCTTTAGGTATTAATTATGCATCCAATGTGCCAAAATTGTGCTAGGCACTTTGGATATATTAGTGAGTAAAATACAAACATGGAGTTTATAGTCCAGTAGGGCAAAGTAGGCTTTAATCAGATAATCACACAGATGAGATATAGTTTCCTTGAAATAAGTGCTATGGAGCATAAAAACAGTTCTTTGAAAGTACATATTTACAGGAACATGAAGGAAGGCTACTCCAAGGATATGAGATTTGAGATCTCAGTGTGAATGCTGATGAGTAGGAGTGTTTCTGGCAAAGGGAATGACCTGTGTAGGAGGAATTCTGGAGGTATGCAGGAACCCTGAAGACTAGAGCCTAAGGATGTTGGGGCAGCATGTGAAATAAGGCTGAAATGATAGATGGATCAGATTATTCAGGGCCTGAGAAGCCATGGTACTGACAGGCACATAATTTCTTTTGGAGAGGGCCCTAGGATGTACTCTATACCTCTTGTTTGTTCCCCTGTATCTTCAGGGATTCTTGTTTGTTTTTAATTCATGGTAATTGCCAACTTTAAAAGTAATTCACTCGTGATAAATGGAACAGCCACCTGTATGTTTCTTAATTCAGCCTGTTTATATACCAATTTATAGAAAGACCTTCTGTATTACAGTATGTGGCTAACTCCTATTCACAGTAGCCTAGAGACATACTTGGATCACTCTTAGGAACTTGGGAGATGGCCTTTGGTTTATAAAATAGCAAAAAGCACAGGTTCCTGGCAGGGCTTGGCACAGGACTATTAACAGCTTAGGTCTTCTCAGTACTTTCACTTCTTAAGTTTATGTTTCAGATCATTAATAAACATAGCACAGAAATTCAGCTGACACCAATAAAATCTGAGACCCAGGGTGATGAACATTAGTTTTTTTAATTTAAAAAATTACCCAACTGCTAGTTATTAACTATGATCAAAAAACCTTCAGTTTGTGTAGTCTTAAAGTTTCAGTTATTAAAGTCATAATGCTTTCAAAGATCATGGAAGCAAAGACTAATTAGTAAATTATATTATGAAAATAGTATATTTATCTTTGAGTAGTTTTTAATTGTCGCTACTATTGCTGTTTCAAATATTATATAAAGGTTTATAAATTTATACCTTCTTGAATGTCTTAAATAACTACCAAATCATGTAGTCAAAAATATCTTTTATTATTATTCCCTTATATTTCTCAAAATTATCTCAGTACTTATATCTACCTCTTCATAAACAGATACCTATTTAAAAAGATCAGGTTCCCATAGCTTAACATTATAGTTATTTTTATATTTATCTTGATAGGTAGAGTAGTAGGTTTTTCATTCATACTACTAAATAATACTTAATTTTTATAAATCCCAAATATTGCTGCTTATAATAGGTATTGTTCACTTTTTAATTTACTAGGTAGCTGCAGTAAGTACCATAGTAAACAGAGGAATAACGCCAAAAGCTTTTGTATTCAGAAACTATGGTCATTTTCCTGGCGTCAACTCTCACTATTTGGGAGGCTGTCAGTACAAAATGTGGCAGGCCATTAGAGCCTCATCTGCTGCTCCAGGCTACTTTGCAGAGTATGCATTGGGAAATGATCTTCATCAGGTAAGTTGAGTCTGTGGCCTATCTTGTAAAACTTTACATGATTAAAAAGAATCAGCACATATTAAATGTCACTGAACTTACAGAAGGATCAACCAAAGAGACTTTCTTTTTTATGGCTCCATGTGGCAGAAGATGTGCAGTACAAGATATTCTTATTTGTTGTTTGTTTTTCTTTAAATTAACAAGCTGCCTGGCTTGAAGAGCATATTTTAGGAAATATTTATTTTTGGTACTTTATACAGTGATTCATAGCCAATTGTGATAGTTTTATTAATGGAAAATGAAGTAGTATGTATGATTGGTTTTCCAAATGTGATTAAAAATTAAAAATGAAACACATCAACAAAACGAAAAGGGAGCAAACTGTATGGGAGAACGTATTTGCCAGTTATACATCTGATAAGGGGTAAATATCCAAAATATATAAGGACTTCATACAACTTAACAAAAGGAAGACAATCCAATTAAAAAATGGGCAAAGGACCTAAATAGACACTTCTCCAACAAGGACATACAGATGGCCAAGAAACATATGAAAAAATGCTCAGTGTCACTAATCATCAGAGAGATGCAAATTAAAACAACAGTGAGATATCACCTCTCACCTCTCAGAATGGCTGCCATCAAGAAATCAACAAATGACAAGTGCTGGCCAGAATATGGAGAAAAGGGAACCCTAGTACACTGCTGGTGGGAATGCAGACTGGTGTAGCCACTATGAAAAACAGTATGGAGTTTCCTTAAAAAATTCGAGATAGAACTGCCTTTTGACCCAGTTACCTCACTTCCAGGAATATATCCTAAGAAACCCGAAACACCAATCAGAAAGGATTTATGCACCTATATGTTCATAGAAGTGCAATTTGCAGTAGTTAAGATCTGGAAACAGCCCAAGTGCCCATCAGTAGATGAGTGGATAAAAAGCTGTGGTACATTTGCACCATGAAATACTATGCAGCTGTTAAAAATCTCTTACCCTTTGGGACAGCGTGGATGGACCTGGAGAGTATTATAATAAGTGAAATAAGCCAGCCAGAGAAAGACAAGTGTCACATAATCTCAGTCATATGTGGAATCTAATAAACAAAATAAACTGATGAACAAAACAGATCCAGAGACATAGAAGCATGGAACAGACAGACGAATCTCAGAGGGGAAGCAGGGGTGGGGGAGTGGGTGGGGAGAGATTAATAAAAAAACTTACATGCATATATGCATAACCCATGGACACAAACAATAGTATGGGGAAGGACAATAGTATGCGGAAGGCCAGGAGGTAGGGCAGATGAGGGGTGGAAGGGATCACTGGCAGGGGGGGAGACATCTGTAATGCTTTCAACCTTAAAGATAAATTAAAAAAATAATATAAAGACCAGTGTCATTCTTTGAAAAAAAAGAAAGAAACACAGTCCCTGAAAATGCAGAACCCAGTCTGTTTGACAGTTTTGGTGGTCATTAAAAAAAATTTTTTTCCCCCGTTATCGACATACAATAGTATATTAGTTTCAGGTGTTCAACCTAGGAACTTAATTTATATGTAGACATTTGTGTAACTTACAGAGTGATCCCCCAATAAGTCTAGTATCCATCTGACACCATACATAGTTATTATAATATTGTTGACTATATTCCCTATGCTGTACTTTATATTTAGTGGTCATATTTTAAAGGATAGGATATAATAAAATAATAATAATAAACACTTAAGTTAGCTGTGTTCCAGACACTTACATAGTTCTTTACATTATCTCATTTAATCATCACTGCTTATGAGGTAGATAGAGTTGCTTCCATTTTACAAATAAAAAATTTGAATTTTAAGAAAGGTTAAGTAACTGGACTAGGGTCATAGCTGTTAAGTGACAGGATGCTTTCTATAATTATACTGTTTTAAAATTTATGACTAAATGATATATAAAGTTGAATATTATTTCTAGTCATTCTTTTTCTGTTATATAGACTCATTTATAATTTTTTTGTGACTTTTTTTCGCCACTATGGAAATCTTAACTCATAACTTATACTAAGTAATAAAGGCAATAAAGGTTTTGAGCTGATAATTCTAAAATATACATACTTTATATATGCTTAATTTTTTATATGATATCCCACTTAAAAATCTCATTTGATGCAGTCAGTAGCCTTAGCTTTCCTCTTTAGTCACTGGTATGCTATCTCTATTTGGTATTCAGAGAAAAATAATATTTTGACAGACTTTTCAGATGTTACTCAAAACATCATACATAGATCTTATATATAAACTATGTATTAACTATATAATTTTAATTTATATGTGTCAATGTTATAACATTTTTATCAATTTTATTTTTTCCTATATTTTTATATAGTAGCTTAAATATATTTTAAAATGTTACTGTCAGCTATTTTACTTTCTTTCTATCTTTGTAGTTAAGAGATTAAAATAGGATTTATTTCGTCTTTGGAGTCAATTCAGACTCTTTCTTTGTCAAACCAGTCGTTAAATTATTTAAGACACTCACCCTTCTTACCTCTCTCTTCTTCTAACCCCCTCAGGACAGAAGGTGGCTAGCTATAGAGTTTTTCTCATATTGATTTAGCCTTATTGTTCAAAATAAAATTTTTATTTTAATATGTAGCTTGCTGTTTTTAACTATTTCTTCATATTCTTACTGCCATAAACGATGAAGTAACCTAGTGTATTCAAAGTATAACAGATAAGTTTTATAACTTTAGGATGGTTGTCATGCTACAAAATTGCTGTTATGATAAATATTAGTGAAACTTTCAAATGATAACTCAGTGCATTTCAGGACCACACTTCAAAAGAAGTTATCTAATTTGGTTTTTATTTTTTATCTAGGAAGAAGTAGTTCTAAAGTTTAATTCAACTCTGTAGAATACATATAACAAATCAAAATAATTTAGTGGTTCTTTTTCCATTTCAGATAGATCAGTCATATTTCTTTTTATGCTTAGCCATTTTTGTATTGATGCCCATAATCTTTGAACTTAGGTTGAAATAACTTCTATACATTTTATGTAAAGCATATGACCACATGTACAGAGAATATGTTTTCATGTAAGTCAGTGACTTTAGAAAGATTGGCACATCAAATTTAATAAGAATATTCAATGGAATCTGGAGTCTAAACCTTAAGTAAATATTTTCTTTATTGCATATTCTCTTCCAATACTTGAGGAAAAAATGGGGTATTTTTCTCTTCCAAAGACATTGTGAAAGAATGATTAGCATATTCTAAGGTGTGAATAATCTTGATTGCTTAAACAAAGAAAATATTTGAGCAAAGTTTCTTTCTATTCTTTCTGAAGTTGTTAAGAAGTTTAAAACTAAAATATGGTACTTATTACAGTCCTCTTATTCAATAAGTTTTTGGATATTCAGTTATTTCCAGTCTCTCTTTTAAAACCCCTTTTGACTGTCCTGTCTGACATATGTTTTAATGTAAATCACTTTATATCCTTTCTGGAATCATGAGAGTATTAATTATAGATTAAATTCTATTTGAGCAGTTATTGAAAGTAGGGCTATAATTAAGATGTATGAGTACGTATGTTTTGGAAGACAACTGTATACACAGTAGTGGTCCCTAAATGCCGAAGGCACCAAGAGACGAAAGAACAATGAGGCAGACAAGTCCAGCTTGTAGGTTAAAGAGTTTAGTAGGGAATTCATGTACAGAAACACAGTCCTGGGCAGGAACAAGATGGAATGAAATGGATCCTTACAACTTTCACCCCTCAGACCATGTGTTTATATCTCCAAAGCAATGAGAATGTGAGGATGATCAAAGGTATCAGGTGCTGGGAAGCTCTGGTGTTAGAGAGGCAGAGAGAGACAACATTGAGGGCCAGTGGCCCTGGAGAGAGAACTGGAAATCTTGTGATCCCCAGAGCTCTTTGTACATATTCCGGCACTCACCTGGGAGAAGCCCAGAGGCTCAAGGATCTGTGTTTACCTAGATGTGAGATTACAGATTAGCTTTAAGGTAGTCACTTATGTTCTGTACAAGGTAGGTGGTCAGATTTTATTTGCCTTTGACTATAAAGAGAATATTATTACAGGTTTATTACATATCCTAGAAAATGATTGTCAACTGTTGGTCGTTGGAACCAATTCAGCATCAACAGGAGTCCCCAATTTGGGGTGCAGTGAAGGAGGAAATTTTATTCATTGCTCACAGCTCAGTTATGATACAGCATGGCTGTGAGAACAGCACAACTGTGGAACAGTTCAGTAGTGTCACAGCTTAATTATGAAGAAGCACAGTGGTGAAAGAGCATAGTTATGAGGCCCTAGGCAGCCCTGGGACCTGGCCCCTCTTTGGTTAGACAGCTCTGCACCGATTCAGTCCAGTCAGGTCTGTGATCTTCCCGGCTCTGCGCTGCCTGCTCTTCTCTGATCCAGCAAGATGTCTTTAGTGTCTCACCTTAGGTATTTAAGCTCTAGCCTGGGGACCAGTCTTCAGCCTTTGGTGGAAAGGGAAAGTGTGCTCTCCAAACCAGAGGGGAGCTGACTTATATAGACAGAAGTCCCCACCCCTGGTTTCTGAATGGTATGTACTCATACAAAGGAGGACTCCACATCCTCAGTTTGATTGGTCCAAAAAGCACTATCCTGATGAATGAGAATAGAGCTGCTCTGATTGGTTGGTGAAAATGCTAATGGGGATATAGGTGCACTGCTCCAATTGGATGGGGAAAACCTCAGTTCTATTGGTTGAAATGCTATTCCAGGAACTCCTGGCTCATTTGGCAGGAGCACTGTACAGGCAGGCAGGTCAGCTCTGGAGCCCTGAGCTAAGTGCAAGATTCCCCCTGTAGTGTGATTTTTGAATGAGAAGCCCCTATGTTGTAGGAATGGCTGCTAGTCTCTGTTTTTTAAATGTGAACCCAGGTATTTTCTTTCTCATAGTTCACATTATAAAGTGGGAAGTATTACTTTTGAGTAGCTTCCAAGGTATTACTTCTCAACCCCTGCCCAAGTAACATCATACTTA